ACTGAAGCTTGTGCATTCATCACGTAGTTCTTGTGCCATGGTTTTCAGCTCCATCATGTCATTTAAGGACTTTTCCACATTGGTTATTCTAGTTAGCCATTCATCTAATCTTTTTTCAAAGTTTTTAGCTTCTTTGTGATGGGTTCGAACTTCCTCCTTTAGCTTGGGGAAGTTTGATCGTCTGAAGCCTTCTTCTCTCAACTTGCCAAAGTCATTCTCCGACCAGCTTTGTTTCATTGCTGGCGAGCAGCTGCGTTCCTTTGCAGGTGGTGTGGGGGGCACTCTGATTTTTAGTATTTTCAGCTTTTCTGCTCTGTTTTTTTCCCATCTTTGTGGTTTTATCTACCTTTGGTCTTTGATGATGGTGACATACAGATAGGGTTCTGGTAAGGATGTCCTTTCCGTTTGTTAATTTTCCTTCTAACAGTCAGTACCCTCAGCTGTAGGTCTGCTGGAGTTTGCCGGAGGTTCATTCCAGACCTTGTTTGCCTGGGTATCAGTAGCGAAGGCTGCAGAACAGTGAATATTGCTGAACAGCAAATGTTGCTTCCTGACTGTTCCTCTGGAAGCTTCGTCTCAGAGGGGTTCCCAGCCATGTGAGGTCTGCCCCTACTGAGGGGTGCCTCCCAGTTAGACTACTCGGGGGTCAGGGATCCAGTTGAGGAGGCAGTCTGTCTCAGATCTCAAACTCCGTGCTGGGAGAACCACTACTCTCTTCAAAGCTGTCAGATAGGGTCATTTAAATCTACAGAGGTTTCTGCTGCCTTTTGTTTGGCTATGCCTTGTCCTCAGAGGTGGAGTATACAGTGGCAGGTAGGCCTCCTTGAGCTGTGGTGGGCTCCACCCAGTTCGAGCTTCCTGGCCACTTTGTTTACCCCTCAAGCCTCAGCAATGGTGGGCACCCCTCCCCTAGCCTCGCTGCCATCTTGCAATTAGATCACAGACTGCTGTGCTAGCAATGAGGGAGGCTCAGTGGGCATGGGACTCTCTGAGCCAGGCACAGGATATAATCTCCTGGTGTGCCGTTTGCTAAGACCCTTGGAAAAGCACAGTATTAGGGTGGGAGTGACCTGATTTTCCAGGTGTTGTGTGTCATGGTTTCCCTTGGCTAGGAAAGGGAATTCCCTTACCCCTTGCACTTCCCAGGTGAGGTGATGTCTCGCCCTGCTTCACCTCTCGCTCGGTGGGCTGCTCTCATTGTCCTGCACCCACTGTCCAACACGCCCCAGTGAGATGAACTACCTCAGTTGGAAATGCAGAAATCACCTGTCTTCTGCTTCGCTCATGCTGGGAGCTGTAGCCTGGAGCTGTTCCTATTCTGCCATCTTAGATTCAATCTACTTTTTGAGATCAGGCATAATGACTGATTCATTTGTATATTCCCAGCAGCCATCTGGGTGTGTGTGTGTGTGTGTATGTGTGTGTGTGTGTGCTGGAAATGGAAATATACATCTTCTAGAATAAGAAATTTGTTAAGGTCTTGATTCTCCTTACTATCACGACATCTTTCTAAATAAGTTTTATTCTCTGTCTTCATTAAGACTCAATGGAGGATCACATCTGTGTAAGTTGGCTTATCCCCACACTTTTATTCTTTTGTTTACAACAATGTTTTGGGTAAAAGAACCCATGCAACTAACAGCCCAAGCTTCCCAAATGATTGAAGAAAAAAAATAAAAAGCCATTTAATGGAAATGGCTTTCCATTAAAGGAGAAAATTAAAAAAATTCCATTATTCTTCCATTTTTAAATATGTTTCAAATGTTTCTGGAATTTAGTTTCTCTCATCTGACTGAATCGGTCTTGTTATCAAGTGAAAAAAGTACATATTCATTTCCTTTTTTCCTTGCTTTCTCTACCTAACCTACAAGGTAGAAAATGAAGAGGAAGTATTATGTAGAACAACACGAACTTTCTAGGTTCACATGTAATATCTCTACCTAAAATCTTTGTGGTCTATAAAAATGTTATTAAACTATGCAAGTTTCAGAATCCACAACAATAAAATGTATAGAATAATGAATACTCTGCAAAATTGTTTCAAAATCAGAGATAATATATAAAGTTTTCAGAATAAATTAATTATGTCTTAATAAGTGGTAAACAATCTTAAGAAACCTTTGTTTCAACTTTTTAATGTCAGTAATAATCTCTGATGCAGGTATGTGCAAACTCATTTGAAACTTACACAATTAATTAAAAATTATAGCCTCATCACCTTATAAAGCAAAGATTATCTGAGCTTACCAAGAGTTGTATAAAATAGATTCTATTTGTCCTAAATTTATATTTCAATCCATGTGTCACATAAATGTATTGCACTGGAGAAGCATGAAGAATTTTGGATCATCTCATACATTCTACCATGGTTTTACGGGCTCTTGAAAGGTAAGAAAATTTTTTTCTTGGCAGGGCACTGGGGCTTACACCTGTAATCCCAGCA